CCCCAAAACCCCAAAACCCCAAAACCCCACTGAAAGAAATATGATTGAATGTTAGAGTTCTGAATTTATTAAAAAATATACTAGTATCTTTACCCCAACTTAATTTTAGTCAGTCCATATTCTTTCAAAATCTTTTTACCTTTTTCTTTATTATAATGAGAATAATCCACAACCATCCTTATCATTCTACTCTTCTCACTCTCCATTTCAGCCAGTCCCTTCACTATGCTCCTGAAAAAGATCTCATCAACTCCCTCGGAATCATAAGCCAAACATCTAAATTCAAATTCTTCAAAAGCAGCTCCTTCGAGCCTACCTCCGAAGTCCAGCTGACAGTCACCTACAATCCTGCCTCTACTAATCCTCACCCATTTCGCATTTTTAGCTGCAACCAGAAGTTCTTCGAACTCAGTCTGGGCCAAGTCAAAGAAATAAATGCTAACCTGTTGAGTAACGCAAGGTAAGACCTTGGAGAGGGAGGACATACAGGGAGTTATTGAAAGAGTGCAGCGATCAGTTCCGAAACTAAAGTGTTGGATGTGCTCTCAAATTGAGTTCGAAAAGAATTTATTCAATAGTTCAGTGTTTTGGTGGCTTTTGGCTAATACGGAAGTTAGTGATTTGAGAGGAGGCATTTTGTATGGGATTAGTTGGTTTATCAACTCGATGTGTTTTTCTTGATTAAGGCATAATCACAATTCTGTTATTTCTTTGATTTTCTGTTCTAATCCATCTATAATTACAGTAGTATCATCAAGCTCTAATTTTGGTTCTGAGTGTTCTATATTATGTTATCAATGATGATCCCAGACTAACCTTTATGGTCTTCAGCATTTCTTTCGCTCTGCAATCTGAGCTCTTCAGCTTTAGCTAGTTCTTCCTTCAAAACTTTTATTTTTTCCTTGTCCTTGATTCGCTTCTTCTCGAGCTTAGCTTTTTCCTGATTTATAGCTTCTAAGTCTTCATTAAACTTGTTCTTGTCTTGTTTCTGTTTTTCTCTAAGCTCTCTAAAAATAAAATAGTTACCACTCATGCTAGACTGGGATGAATCCTGTGAAGAGGATTTTATAGAACAGCTTATCAGAATAATAAAACCTCATAACACCTAGCAAAACTATTCGATCAGTTATCACAAGACTAGACTATATTGTTCACATAACAGCTAAGATATATCTTTCGACTTGGCTCTTACGATAAACTGTTTTCTTGCTTTATCATAATCTGTTCTGCATTCTCAAGCTTTTTCTTGCTTGCGACTACCTGACTGTTCGATGTTATTAGCTTCAAGTCTTGAGTCTGGAGTTCTCTCATCTGTCTTTCAATTTTCTGTTGTTTCTCATCTCACAGTTCACTTTTCTGATCGTACTGTTTCTTTAGTTGCTTGTGCTCTTCCTTGAGTTCCCCATACCTGGTTATAGCAAGGTGATCTCTCAGCTTTACCATTTGTCCGTTGACCCACTTCTTGGAAGCACTGTACATCTTTCTGGTCCCGTACTGGTTGTCTCTGAACTGTCTGATACTGTCTTCTTTGCAGTATTCTTTCCAGAGACGAGACTCCAGCACAGTCTCAAGAAGAGTCCTGGCTTCAACATGAAGATAAGGGAGTCTGTCCCAGCCATTGGTAGCCTTTGCTGAAGCCAGGTCATCTACAGGAGAGTCAAAATAGATATCTGGAATTTACTGTTAAGCTGTGCATGTGTATCCTTATAGTCTTTCAGTTCTGGTAAAAGTTTAACTCATAATTTGTCGAGGTTATGCCATTCTCTGAAATGGTCAATTCTCATCAGATTGTGTTCGGCTGTATCAAAGTTTAATAAAATCTTAAAAGGAACTTTTGCCAAAAGAAGTGTGCAAATTTATGAAGATTTCATAAACACAAGAACTAGAAATACCACATAAGCGGTTAACAAAATCTGGCTTATTTAGCAAGGATATGTATATTTAGAAGTAAGAGGTCCAAGAACTTGACTAATGAGGTGGCTTACCTGCTTCTAATCAGTGTAAAATGTCTCTAGGGTTAGGGATTTGAACAATTGGTTCTGAAGCGAATCTGGAATTCAGACATTTTGAACACACAAACAAGTCTTCATTGTGAAGGCTTTGTTGGGTACTCTTCACCAGAAAGGCAATTTTCTCACAATCGCCAGAATATTCACACTTTGGAATTTTCATGACTATTTTAATTAATTATTATAAAATCTCATTACTAATTTTCTTATATGGGGTTTTGGGGTTTTGGGGTTTTGGGG